TCCCTGGCACGGGGGAGCAGAGCTAGCGTGGCAGCCGGGTACGTAACACCAGCGTTTTATGGGAGATAATTAGGTGACTTTGCTGCGGGAGGTTTCATAGCCGGCGTTACCTCTTTGCCTCCGGTAAAAGCGGATGCGAACCGCCGTGAGAACAAGTTTCCGGAGAGGTTTCGCTCCACCGGCTTTTGCTCGCTGCGGGCTGGAGGAGCTGATGCTGCTCCGTTGTTCTAAAAAAATCTAATTCCTAGCTTTTTCCAGCGTGCTGTTCCCTGTTGGGTGAAACTACAGGTTTTGCATGTTATTCATATGAAAAAGGGTAAAAGCACGGTTTTTGGCTTTAGGGCATAATAGCAGAACAGAGATTAAAACAAACAAAGAGCCCTTCCAGGGCAGACCAAATAACATAATTCCATATATTTGGCTCAGATATTTATTTGTCTGACTTTTTTTTACTTAGGGTGTAATTATTAGTTTACAATTGAAAAGAAAATCCCTCAAATTATTTTTGCTATTGATTGTTATGCGGTGTCTTTGACTTGTGTGAAATAGTTTACAAAGTACACAGAGCAAAGTTCCAGCCCCAGAGAGATTGCAATCAGGCAAAAAAAAAAAAAAAAGAAAAGTAAGTAGGCAAAAGGGTGTGCAGGAGGGTGTGAAAATAATACTGGAGAGATTAAAAGTAGGGAGTAGGTGGAAATGGGAACAGAGATGTAGGCAGGGATTAAGAAGTTTTCAAGGGAGCCTAAATGCGATGAAGTAAAAAAAAGAGGAAATCAGAAGTCAGTTCTGAGATGAGATTGACCCGGAATGTCTTTGATGTCATTTTGAGTACAATGCTGCACAGGTGGATGTATGAGGAAATGCAAGGAAGAAACTGTGCTTGATAAGATGATAGCTGCCACAGTGACAACAATGGAAGGAAAAGAATTGATTAGTGAGCCATCTAAGAAGGACAGTATTTTAATTCCTTTGTTAGCAGAAGTCAAAATAAGATGTGGGCTGGAAAAAGCAGTGATGAAATATGTTTGGTTCCTTCTTCATATATAGGACAGTCAGTATGCGTTATCTTACCAAAACCAGTATTCAATTAATTTAAGATAGAACAGGCGATTGTTAAGATAACAAGTATAGGCTATTTATAGACTTCCTCCACAGAAGATGGTAAGACTTTAAAAGCTCAAATGTCAGCGGTTATGGAGATAAAGCACAAATCCACCTTTCACAATGTAATATCACTCTCAACATCAAGGTGAGGTGAGGACATGGGTGAAACAAACCATCTGCACTAAATTTCTAGTAAAATGAAGGCTAAACATATTGGTAGGGGCCTTGAACACGTTACATGATCCTGAGCAGTCACAGTTATGTTCTTATCTTGCTAACCACGTTTTAGAAGCCCTTCTAGACTAATGTGGAGTTCCCTCACAGCAGATTTTGTGGAGAAATCTATATTGCTTTCTCCTTTAGCCTGAGAGGGCACTTTACAACTTTGTAACTGAAGATCCAGCTCAGACAATGTCTGCTCTCATCCTTATTATTTTTTCCTCTGGATTGCTGACGTGTCATGTATTTTTATTTGAAAAATATCTTCATAGGAGAAGACCTTATAAATAGCATATAATTCACCCCAGCAATAGGTACGTCCTTCCTGAATATTATGGTAAGCCAGGGGAAGGTGGAGGTTGCCCTCCCTGAGCTTTCTGGTTTGGGTTCGTCTCATGTGACCTCATTAACCAAGGCATGCCAATCTTGCTGGCACAAGGAAATTGTTTATTAAAAAACAATTTTCTCAGTGACTGTGGAGCTGGAAATTGAACACTAATGTAAACATCAATGATCTCCAGTCCAAACTTCAGTTGTGCATAAAGAAATATTTCATTAACCTGGCCTTCCTAAGTAGCATTATGAAGTGTATAATTTTAAAAAGAAAACTGACAAATGTATGTATATACCCCGGGGATGAGGAGGAGAAAAAGAATGAATATAGCATACTAATTGCTTTGCTAATTAATCTTTAGAAGAAGCTTCAACACAACAGTGATGCGTTCAGAGAAAGAAAATGAATACAATACAAGCAGATGAAAGCAACGAAACTAGGGGAGCTGTTGCAGCTGTGGTTTTGTATTTCCTTAGTTTTGTTAATGTAAATCCTTCAACAGACTTTTGCAGTAACAATGTTGTGGGTATTCAGTATGAGCAAAAGATGTGGCAACTAAAGAATAAAAATGGTGATTTAAACATAGAAACAAAGTTGTTAATGGGTAACACTACCACCCAAATGGCTGACCTGGGATCCAAGTGCCCTTCGGATCTTCTTCTCAGAAGATAAAGGCTCACAAAATATATCACATACATGTCATACATGTACAAGAAATATGATGCCATCAAGAAAAGGGGAAACATTTTATGAGAGCAGGTAGCAACGCTGCAGCCCCTAGAAACCCTGGTGTTGTGCCTCCTTATTCCCCTGCTGGATTTGCTGGTTGTCATCTGAAGGGGGGTGGGGTGTGCACTAGGATCTATGGGCTACACTGTGATAAAACAGGAAACTTCTTGTGATTTCCATCCCGTCAATCCTACTGCATTTAGTAAAAAAAATAGCAGCAAAACCATAACTTGCATTGCCAAACAGAACACCTTTTTCCAACTATCCTTCCAATTTAACTGTAGTTCTTTTCCAACACTCTCCCTTTTTTTTTTTTGTACCATGTACTGGTATGGCATACAATAGACCTAGAACGAAATGAGCATTAATAGTCACAAGAGATTAGCGCTGTGTTACAAACTAGGATTCCTGTGAAGCTCCAGGCTTTAGAAGAAAGGCAGCATGGATGAGTGGTTCCTTTCAACTAACTTTCTCGATCCCTAATCTCCTCGGGAAGAATAAATAATAATCATAAGAACTGCTGTACTGGATCAGAAAAGGATCCATCTAACATACAGTTAGAAAAGCTCTCTATAGATGGAAAATAGCTTCTGTGTTTGCCACCAGGTTAGGCAGAGACCATCAGCCACTAAAGCTGTCCCTGCATCACAATGTTAAATGGCTCCCAGGGCACTACCAAAGGCAAAATACTACTGAGGCCAAAACCCCTAGTCCCCATACTCTGTCTGCAGGAGGGCTGTCAGAGGTGATCTTGCAGGTAGTCCTAGAAGTTACAGGCAGCCTGAGCTGGGGTCAAACAGAGAAGGTACTAGCTGAGTGATGTAGTGGTAAAAAAGCAGCTGATGTGTACGTATAACCCCGCCATCAGGGTTTCCAAGGGCTTCTGCAGGATGAACAAGTTGGAAACAAGAAGTCTGCTGAAAGCACTGTGTAAATTAAATTTGTCACACTTCACACTCTTCCCCAAGCTTATTTAACTGTTAATATGTTTGCCATAGTTGTTTGCAAATTTAAAGCAACATCCAAAATAAACCACTCATAAATGGTGGACCATTACCTGTGATAGTTCACTTATATTAATTTTACAGTGTGAAGATAACTGTACTGATATTTCACATCTAGATAGACATAGATCTGTTGAAATAAAAAGAATGACAACTCATTAAATAAGAGGAAATCTTTGTCATCTAATTTAAATAGGCATACATTAAAACTGGGACAAAGGTGATCTGAAATTTCATTTAGTATCTGTGTTTCTTTTCATCTGGTACATCTGCCTATTTCAGACCTCACACTGGCACAGTTTGCTGTCCACACTTGGGCATAAGACGACACTTGCTTTTCTAAATATTTCTAGGGATACTGTGGATTGTGGGTTGCAGGGGAAGGCTGAGTGGCCTCTTTCCCATCGGGTAGCAAGGAAAACGCACAGAATCAAGTACTGCCGAAAACAGGCAGAAACAGGGAGGGAGCAGGCTATTCACTTCCCTTAAATGGAAGGGATCAATACCTAAAATACTAGACATCTGTAAGAAATGAATGCAGGGTTTTAGCACAGTGACATCCTTTTTGTCTCTTGACATAAGAGCACCCATACTAAATTTTCCTTACCTCCTCAAGAATATATATTTAAGTAGAGCATTACAATGGAAGCTTGTATTACAAGGTAACATACCTAGCGCTATTCTTAAAAACATTTCTCTTATTTTGTGCAGATGCAGACCACAGAGACATGAAGAGTACATTTACATAACCCAAAAGTCATGACCTGCTATATACCACATGCGTTGCGCTGCTACGTATCCAATCATATTGTTCCCAGCCCCTGGGAACCTGCTGCAGGGCCCAAGTAATTGAACATGTGTAGGCAAAGTAATTGAACATGTGTAGGCAAATGCATTGTAGAAACAGAAGTGACACACTCATGAGTTTGTAAACATTCCATCAAAATCTGAATCTCCCTATCTATCCCTATCAGGTGTAGTAAGTATGTTTTTCTCCACTGCTTATTCTGCCTTGAATACTGGTTAAAAGTATGCTTTAATTCCTAATAGAAATGATCTTTTTAAATAGGAGTCATGCTCTTCCATACAGAAAGCTTATTCCTTTTATTTTAAAGCTCTTCATCTTAAAATTGGGCTGTAGAGCCTTTCCTACATTTACAATACTTTAATATGTGACACCCTTCAGTTTTTTTCTGGCTTTGCTCTGGCTTGCCATACCTTCCCCCTGCAGCCCTCCGCTTCTCAGAGCTGCAGCAGAGATGCCAGTAAAAGGGTGCCTCCTTTGCCAGTGAGATCAGATGATGTAAGTCCTATGCTACCTCCTAGTTATCTGACTTGTGGCAACTGCCCCCTTTCCCTAGTATCCTGGGGAAGAGCAGAAATGCTGCTTCCATAAAGGATCTGCTGTCCTGAGAGGGAGGGAGGAAGCTGTGCTTCAGCAGGGAATCCATGCTTTTGGGGACGGAAGAGGTGAAGATACCAGTGCCGCCCTTACTGTGGGATGGCACGTACCTCCTACCTGGATGAAATCAGTTTACCTAGGAAACTGGATCATGAGAGGAGGGGGAAGAGACTTGCAGACCTAACAAACACCACTGATCCCTTATTTAACAATATTGCAAGGTGTAGAGGTACCATGCCTTCTACCCCTAATAGTAGTGTGAAAGATTACCATGGTTTCACCTGTCATCGCTCCCTACCTATCTTGAAAATCCACAGCTGCTGTGTCTTGTGATTACCATCTCTAAACTCATGTTGTGATACTGTGACAAGATAGCCTTAATGCAGAATTTAAGCTATGGAGAAATTAGATCCTTAGAGTCACTACAAGCTTTTAGGTTTCAGATGGTAATTCTAGGTCTGCAGCCAGGGAAGGGAACCATTTGTCTTCAGCTAAGACATTCAGGGATTTCCACTGGAATTATCATATGGCTTCAGAAATGATCGATATTTGTATCATAGTTTGCCTTTACTTGGAGATAGTCTTTCACCCATTTCTGTCATTATTAACTTACTGGATATGTATTTCATGCATACTTTCACTTTTTAGCCAGAGAGGGAATGCTTTTGTAATTTTACTGCCAGCAACTTATGGCCTATTTCTTTCACTTTACCTGACTGCTACTCAGCAATTTTGTTGTGAACCTGCTCCCATCAAAACCACCACTACTATTTTTTCCAAAGTAGGCAAAATTCTGTGCTTTACAGCATGGCTTTGGAAAGATGTGCCTCAAGGTAATCTTTAAAGACTGACAGGTCCTAAACTTAGTCCTGAGTTTGCTTCAGGATTAAGCTACCAGTTACACTCCCCCAGTCATTCAGTTTCTATCATGTACATATTCATATGACTTAATCTTATTACAAAAGATCAAGTTAATGATTTGTAGTCTCAGCAACCCTCCGGTTTCTCATTAACTTACTTTTTCTAGGTGATGCTCTTAAGCAGTTTCTGTGCTTGTAAAACTACTGTATTGCTCCTGACATTTTCTTTGCCATGTTTTCTATGAAGTCAATTTTCTTTGACTTCATAGTCTCCCATTTTCCTTTGCTTTGCAGCTGTACTCTTAAAAACACTGAAAGAACTTAAATTACTTCCTTCAGGTTCATGCCAGGTTCTCTTTCAGAGCAATTCAGAGAACTTTTTTTGCTCAATCTTTTAACATGAATTAAGTCTTATTTCCAGTTCCAGGTAATACATGCAGCTTATAGAGCGCTGGAAAGAGACTGGTGTTTATTTCTTGGATACAATTACACAACATGTACCTTTGTTATCAGTCCCTGATATATTACTTCTGGCATGCACTGCAGAGAAGCTGCTGTTATGCAATGGAAATTTAGAAGATCTCTTGCACTCAGTTCTCCTCTGCTAACCCAATAAATAAGTACACCTCCACCTTCAGCTGTTTTCCCCCACTGCATTGCTATCAAGTACACAGGAGTTGCTTGCACTTCTCCAATCTGTCTCCCTCCTCTAATAGCAGAGATAATTGCTGTCCTGCCGTAAATCCATGCAAAGAAGACAGCATGTACAGATATGCCCCGCAGCTCTGAAGGAAAAAAAAGAGAGAAATCAGAGAGACTTTGCCAGGTTTTGCTCTTCTGTATATAAGCTTGCTTTGGTAGAAAAGTTGGGGAAATACAGGAATATAGAGAAATCCCCTTGCTGCTTTGAAATGGGTTTTATAAAGGAATCAGCTCCTTTGAGAGAAAAATGGCACAAAAGACAGAATGAATCAAACAAAACAAGGAAAAGAAATTGAAAGAGGAGAGAATTACTACAACATATACACGCACAAGAAAAGAAAAGGTGTGGTGAAAGGAAAGAATAATCAAAAGCAATAGGAAAGTGGCAGGCATAGATTGCCAATTAACCATCAGATTAAGGGAAAATTCTGATCAAAACCTTTTTTTGTTGTTTTTCCTTCTTCTAAGAGGCATCACCCATTTCCAACACCTACCTTATGATGGAATGAGTATGCCTTAAACAAAAAAGGATGGAAGAGCATAAGCCTGATATCTGCAAAACTCGGCAAAACCATTTTATTCACCTGACACCTGGGGCAGAGGAGGAGCCCAAAACATCTGCGTCACTGCCATTATCCACAGGTCAGCTTCCACTATTGTAGATGTGGGAGATCTGAAGTGCAAACTGGTGTTGCTTGTCCTGTGCACTTCTCCATAGACATATTTGCCATGTGCAGACCCTCAGAGTGCCCAGGAATAACCACAGCTTTGCTCAAAAAGCTGTGAAAGCTCTAACAGGTTTATTCCCTTTGGGACTAAACCCATCCAAGCCTTAAGGAACAGACACTTCTCAGTGCTACAAACATAGCATAAAGTTAACTTTGCAGTAACTACTTGTTGTGCATTTGGTAGGTTGTTACATAGTTATAAGCATCTTCAAGCTGTTTGTAACCATGATTTGAGTATATGGATATGCATGTCTATCACAGCCCTAAGTATCAATGTTTGGGCAACAGCAGCATCTATTTATCAAGCATCCCTTCTCTATCCTTATGAAGCTAGTGAAGGTGCATTAAAGATAGAGCACAAGAGGACAATTAAGGCCCTATATATTAGCTTCAGTGAGGGCTGTCAATGGGCTTGTGGCTCCAGTACTCTTGTGCAACTATGCAAGTTTTGCTCTTGGGCAGGTAAACCACCTGCTTGTTTCCATACTGCCAGTGGACAGGTGCATCATGGACATGTGATGTTAAGGCAGACAAAGACAAATTATTTCTGAATTAGACAGAGAACAAGAACGCAAATGTCCACACCCAAACAACAGTAGCTATAAAGGAAAAAAAAGCGTTAATTGCTTGAAGTTGTGATGTTCTAATGAATTAAAGCCATGAATTGTTCCGTACACAACCTAACAGATAAGCAATCTCAGCCCAGATGAGCCTATGAAGAACTGTGGCATTTTAAAAGTCACATTTGGAAACGGTAGTCAGCCAGTTTTCCAGATTTTGTAATGTTAATGATCTCACCTAAAAAAAGGCTTGGGCAGGTAGGAATCCCCGAGCTACAGCCCATGCTCCAGCCTTTGAGTAGGGGAGGGAAGAGAAATTATGATTTGAATTTGTATAGTATGAATTTTCATTTTTTACTAGCATTCTTTTAGGCAAACTATTCACCTGACTCTTCTGGAGCCCAAGTCACAGCCCTAAATAACAGTCTTCATTTGCCATTTATATTTCCTGTATGAGATGGCGATATTTATAGCAACTTTCTCAGTCCCTTGCTTAGCAGACTATTACTACTGTTCTTGCAGACACATTGACAGAACAGTAGCAGAAGGCTACTACTTCAGCCTAGATTTTTGTAACAATTACCTGTAGATAGTCATCTGCCTACAATACGAGTCAGAGGAAATTACTGTTTATAGTTTACAGAACACATGTGACACTGAACTGGTAAGGTCCCTGTCTTGAATAACTTAGATTTAAATTAGCTGAGGCAGCAGAGGAGGAGGGCAGGCAAGCAAAAGCAAGTCTTGCCAATTCGCATGGTGCCTGGTAACAGGTCATCAAGTAGGAAAGAAAACCCTGGCTTCACTGTCAACATTGGGCCTATGTTTAAGTGTCAGCAACTTATTCCCTGGAGATTTCTGAAAACACAACCAAAGCTTTTTTGGACTCTTAAGAGAAATTAGTCTCTGCCATGACACAGGTAGGATATCGCATTTTGTTTTCATGACTAATAGTTGAGAAGGCCTCAGAAATTGGCCTGAAAACGTCAAGTATTTCTGTAGAAGAATGTAGCAGATTGTGCATGTGGAAGGCACTGGGCACAGGTGGTACAGACAGATGGACTCCAGCCTTCCTTAAGCATTGAACTGATGTGGTGGGATTGCTCTGACGAAGGCAGCAAGTATCCTGGAGCACTCATTCACCAGCTCACAGCCTTTTAGATGGGTTAAAGAACACACAGGTGAGTAAACAGAAAGCACCCCAAAATAGTGACCCAATCAAAGTGCTACTATCAGAAGGGCGTGCGTGTATGTATAGGTAGGGAGGGAGAAGAAGAATTGTAATTAGGTCACAGGGACCAACATACAAATAACAGCACAAAATTATCTAATACCTGGGCTGTCAGTACACAAATGCCAGGACACAGGATGTATTGGCACAATTACAGTTTTTACACAGCTAATTATGATGACAGGGGATTTGTGGAATAAAATCACTGAATAAAATATTGTTAAAAAAGGATATATGTAAGAGAAATAGAAGGAGAAAGCACAGAAGCTATACCACAAAAGCTACAATATAGACTACCTGATCAAAAATAAGGAGAACAATATTTTGATAACAAGAACCAAGTATCTGCTGGAAAAGCAGTACAGCAGGAAACAAGAGTCCATCATGTTCTTGCAATAGTTTGTGTATGTTATGGGAATGGCTCTTTAAGTCAACTGTGATTACTAGGATGAATCTGGTTAAGACAAAAAACATGTATGAAAGTCAGCCATGAAATGAGCTTGTCTGGATGAAGGAGAGAGTAAGAAGCAGAATAAAGATGTTCTTGCATATTTCAACAAATTCAGAATTATTAGCAAGTTTCCTGACAAGATAATCCTTAGAAATAGCATGAAAAGATATCAAACTATATTCTAAATTTGGTGAAAGACTAAATAAAGAGTAGATCAAACAATGGCTGAACAGAGAATATTCCGTTTCTTTGCTTCAGCTGACAAAAAGGGCTGCGATGGAACACCTGACAGACAGCAGCATGAAAGCTGCACATTCAAGAATATTTGTATAAGCTACATGTATTATACTACACTAATTAAAACAGAAGCAACCAAAGCAACTAAGACCAGTAGTGATATACTTTCTTTTTTTAAATTTAAAGGACATTGGTAAGGTTTCAGCGTGCTAGAGAAGGACAAACACAACTGATAGTCAAATAAGAGGGGGAAAAAAAAAAAGACTCTAACTGAAGGTCAGTCAGATAATATGGGGAAAAATACAGTAAGTTAATTTACTGTGCTTTCCTAACCCTATGAGTACATATACTGAAATGTATACCACAAGTGGCAGGAAATACAAAATTTAATGTCAATTTAACATCTGTGAAGAACAAAACAAGCACATATATAACTGATTTAAGAACTATTCTACCCACAGGAAGAAAATGACAATTTTTCATATTACTGTCAGAACCAGCAGTAACACCACAAGTTATTAAAAAAAATAAGTTTTGTAAGCTAAGTAGCCAAAGACAAGTTATTTATCAGATCTCATAAAAAATATGCAATCAACTTCTCCAGTATTTACAGAAGTGATTACGTAAAGCAAATAACCTTTCATCATCTAAAAATCTGGAGTCAAATTTTGTAATTTAGAGTACTTTAGATTAACACTGACAAATAAAAACTGATTTTTTCCCCATTTAGCCATCATTCATCCCAGCACAACTTAGTTAGGAAGCTCTGTGATATATATTATTTTCTTCCCATTTTACAAAGACAGCAAAACAAAATGGTTCTTGTAGCTGCAATTCCAAGCAGTAATTTTTTTTGCAGTATATTTCTAAAAGCAACTTTAAACACTGAACATTAATGCTTCTGTTATAGATGCCATCCTAAAACTGAACAAGCAAGATGTAAATCTAAAACATATGACACACTTTTCTTCTACATTAAAGACTGATGGATTACATAGTCAAGCTTATGGAAACCCACAGGGCAAATCAGCCTATTCAAAAAAGCCCAAAAACCAAAAAACCCTGAGAATTATGAGACACTTGTTTTAAAAAGGTCGAGATAAGTACCTTGGACGCTAGCTTCAAACCGTTAAGTGAGAGCCCTGCCAGTCTGCGGTTAACTTCTAAAGGGTGAACCTTTCACAAAACGTCAACTAAGAAAAAGCAATTCTGTTGCAACTAAGATCACCTTTACCAGTACATTTGCCTGCCTCTACCCTGGAAATTTTTTTTTTTTTTTGTCTTAGGCATCCACAAAAAAATTTGCAGTCCACTGATTCATATTTCTGCATGTTCCAACATAAGACAAAGGTGAAACTGTGTGCTACTGAATGATTTTGGAAAGAACGTTTCATCATGTTAGCGAACAAAAGCTCAGCATCTAGCATACTAAAGACAATTTTTAACTAGATAGTCTGTGTAGCTGTTAAACACAGAAATCCAAAGTCTGGAAATCGAGTGGTAAATTCTTGAAAAAGAAATATTGAAGAAATACTCAAAGAACATTGCTGAGGTTGTACTACAACATTTTACTTCATTTAAGTACAGCAAATTTCACCAGTCCTATGATTTATAAAGTACACAAAATTTGTACATAAAGGAAACCAAAACCCATCAAAAGATGATCATAAATGTGTGTATGTACATATAACATACACACAAGAAATGTGCAATTTTTTTTTAATGCAAGTTAATCAAAGCATATGCAGAATAGAGTTGTACAATGCTAAGGGAACATAACGGTATTCTAGGTATCATTATGATGTCTCGTATCCTACAGCCAGTGCAAACTTAAAAGGCACAAACTCAGTGCTGACACTGTAGTGTTGTAAGTTACATTCAAGCACATCTCAATCTATACTTCTTCAAAAAAGATCAATGGAAGTGCTGCTTTTGTACTAAAGTGCCAGCCTTTTCTCAAAATTTACGCACTAAATTGATGTAGTCTGTATCCAATAGTTTTCAGTGACGGATTAACTCAGAACTCTGATATCAAAGTCTACTGCTAGATCATCTGTTATCCTTTTCTCAGGTCGGAAAGTATGCTATTTCCCCAAAATACCTCCCTTACAGCCTCCAAAGACTACCTATACCTTGCAGACCTTGACATACAGAATCTTACAGGATACACCTTTTTCTAGCTTTTGTCAAACTCCCGTAGAAAGTATATCCAGATTAAAAAAAACACCCAGCAAAAAACCTTCCAAGATACTTGCATTTAACAAACCTTTGCTAAATTGCATAGTGACATATGTGTATCAGCTGGTAAAGAGTTAAAAACAAAAGCTTGCTGTTTAAGGCAAAATTTTAACACAGCATAGCAGAAAAAGCCAAGTACCAGGTCCATCAGTATTTAAACAAAGTACTGGCCCACAGAGTCTTATCCTCACAGTGTTTTCTTACTTATTTTAATAGTGAGCTCACACTTGCAATATGCTTCATTAGCAAATTTGTTGCATTTCTCTACAGGAAATGAGAGCAATTAATATGCAGGCTGATTGACATTGAAAACACCTGACAAATAGGTTCTCTTTCACCCCTCAAAAAAGGGTTTTTTGAGCCTACTGGGAGTTCAAAACTCACTTGCAGCCAGGTCAAACATAATACCTAAAATTGAACATTTAGTAAAATTGAACTAATTATTTAAAGTTTGCTAATATTTAATACAAGTTATCACATCACTTTGCTGTCTCACCCTAAAATTATACTTTTAGCTTTATTTTTCAATAGAAGACATTTAATAGACATCTGAGGAAAACAATACAATACAAAAGCTCAAGGGTCTTTGCAAAGAGATCTTCTTTCTGCAAAGTAAGAAAGGAGTGATTTTATTGGCATTTACTGGAAGTGCCATCAATAAGACACAACAATACTTAAGAAAGCAAAAAAAGTTCTAATGCTCCACATATATCTTTGGTTTAACCTTCCTGACCAAAGTCTTCTGTAAACTTCTTTAACTTCTCCAGGTCCTGTTCATTAACTGTTGGTTTTGTGCTAGCTAGTGACCTGCACATATCAGCCTGTCAAAAAAAAAACAAAAAAAACCCTGTTTTCAGAAACAAGAATAGTACCACATTTAACCATTTTTTGACAATACAAAGCCACATTAAAAAGTCGATTAAAGCAAGATGACTGAGAGAACTACTATTCACACAAAACTTTAAATAAGCCTAAACATTTCTGTACACAGGCAGCATTTTAAACTCATGAAGACAGATGGTAACAGTGGGTTTTCTAATAATGAAACTACAGTCTCAGGTTTAAGTTTCAACCACTTATCTATTCTAAAAATTTTATTCATCACTGCTTACTGGAAAGAACTGAACTTCCTATTTTTTTTTTCTTGTCAGCTACTGTTTTCATCCCAGCTTCGACTACGGTAGTTTAAAGTGGGAAATAATCAGATGTTCCCATGTACACTTCATAGTCCAACAATACAGACCAGTATTTTATAATTTATCTCTAACAAAACAAAATTTCACTATTCATGACTGCATATTTATTTCAGCCAATTCCCACTATAAATACTTCGGATCTTAGAAAATGCAGAAGTTCAGGAAAATTGCAGGTCTGTGAAGTCAAAAACAGCAGTTAAAAAACCCTAACAATACAAAGGAGTAAGAAAACTGTAATCAAGTCCTAGCCAAGGATTAACTGAAAAGACTATCATCTATGAATGAGAGGATGGCAGCTGCATATGAATAGACAACAACAACAAATGCTTATCAGGGTATGAGATGGAGACCTGGCTTCTTAATAGGCATGCTGTATTGTCATGCCAAATGTTGGGATTTGAATCTTATCTGGTATGTTCAGCATTTCTGAAACCAAACAGCTCATCCAAATGCCTGGTATATGTGTTTGGGAAAAAAAAAGAAAAAGAAAAAGAAAAAAGAAAATCACCTCGCAGTCTTTTTGGAGTTCTGCAAAACGAGAAAGAAACTTCACAAAAAATACCTACCATGGAAACCTGAGGCTCCAGTAATTTATCACCTGGGACCTCCATCCATGTCATTTCAATGGCTTCAGGATCCCCTGGAGAGCAAGGGGTGAACAAATCTACCATGACATTCGGATTAGACAGTGATGGTCCTTTTACCTAGAAATAAGGGAAACAGTTTATAGGAGTTAAAATATTCCAGACACAACTAGAAGCCGAACATCATCTTTGGAGCAAAAACATTCCTTCACTTTATACAGATGCTGCACCCATCAACAAATCTTGTCCTGTGAAACAGAAACTGTATAGCTGTATTGGCATCAGTCATTTGGAAAATGTGCAGTTGTAGCCAGATACTTAAGTTAACATCAGGTCAAAACCAATGAGCTGCTTCCTCTTAAGGTATGAATTTCTGCAGAAAGCTAACATGCTAAGAAATCTCGTTGGAGAATATCATCCTGCCTAGTCCCTGCTCGCTTTGGAAGCACATTCAACACTGGTTAAAAGCTTCTAAAAATTGCTCAGCAATTATCCTACAGTGCCCCTCAAGTCAGAAAGACAGAGGTTTTAAAAAACTTTTACCTCCTACACTGCAAAGCTCTTAGCACCTTTTCCGACATCATCTCAGAAACACTTAACAGAAAATAGGGCCATCTAGCGGGAGAAGAGAAACCATCCTTTTATCCCTCCCTGCCCCACGGACAGACCCAAAGAAGATGGACTAGGTGCCTCTTGCCTTTCTGCAATGCACAACTGGGACCCACAGTTCTACCTTCCTTCATCGTTACCTGAAGGACCCACATTCACAGGAACTCAGAACATACAGAGATTAAAGACAATCTACTAAGTGACCTTTTGTAACAGCAAGGACCTAGATTTGCTACTCCAAACTGTTTTTAAAGCACAACACCAAAGAGCATAATTATAACTTTCAAAATATTCTTTGACAAACCTGGATTATCATCATGCTATTTACAGTAAGGAATGGTTTACACTGGATTCATAATTGAGCAAAGTGCCGTATAACTGGGGCAAGTTGTCTGTCATGACACAAGTAATTTATAAAACTAAGATTTAACATATAAAAATAGGAAATTAAAGCACTGACAACACAAGTGGCATAAACTGGCTTTTGGCAGCATCCTCAAAGTACTGCATTTTTTTTCTGTTTTTTTATTTCTTTTTTTTTTTTTTGAAAAAGGGGGCAAGATGCAAGTGTTGCCTTTGGGCTGCCATGCAAACTGTGACAGGCAAATTTATTTCATTGTTCTGCGGTAGTCTGAGACATGCGTGAAATTCTTGCCAATTTGAATGAAAGGCTAAAATATAACAATTCTTTGGGCAGAAATGTCATTTAAAGTCAACAAAAGATGACTATTTCACACATCATTGCATAACGGATGGTAGCATTTAGAAAACCCTAGCTATACCAAAACAAATACTTATTTGAGAAATACAGTTTATATTGCAATGTTACTGCTGATTGGCCCCACAAAGAGACTTGTCAAACTTGTCTTTCAAAATATCCTTTTTGTTTTTAAACAGGCAAAAGCTCCTCAAAAACTCTTTATAATATTTTTTCCACCAAGAATAAACTTGCAGCCTGTAATTTAACAAGTTCATAAAGTTTCCTCAAAGCAAACTCTGGAAACATATACAGTCCTCCTGTGTTCAGGACCATATTGGATTTAAGTGTTCTTTTACCTTCCAGAGTCAAGCTGAACATGTTCCTTGGATGAAAACTATGTTTAAAAAAAAAAAAAAAAAAAGTCTGGCTATCATTCAAAGCAACTGTGGCTGTTCAATTAAGGCCCACAAAAAAAATTAAACAAATTAATTCTCATATGGCAAGTTATTTTATGATTTGATTTAGAATATTACTTTTAGGAGTGGCAAGTGGACAATCTTTACCTTTTTACATGAGGTCAAGCTACTGGTAGAAAACGTGTAACTCAGAGAACCAAGATCCACAGAAGTTATAGGGTACTCATCTCTTCACAGCTCAGGATCTGAAATTCTTCCCCCTTGAAGAAGAAACCCTGAAACCGACTCTTTAGGGCCCAACATTAAATAAAAGCTTCCCTGTATAGAAGGGAAAAAAGCTCTGTGCAGACTATCTTGACCTATCTTCACCTGAAATACATGAATATCTATAAAAAGTAAGATTTGCAGTAAAAATGTAAAGAATTATTTTAGTTTGGATCTACTCTGAAAAATAAAGCGATGCTATTTTTTCTGGACAGTATTTAACTGATACACATCTTGAACGTATTTTGAGCTCTGTTTACAACTACTGATAACATTAAATTGACACTTTTTTGCACTCAAGAACAAAACAGTTTAGAGATTAATCTTCTGCATGAGGATGTTTCATATTAATTTGATTGAACATGAGACCCATAGGTGAAAGATCTCTGGGATAAAAAAGCATTTCACAGATGTAACAGATTTAAATATTTGTCCTAAGGAACTCTAGCTGGTTTAGACATATAAAGCTTTGGAGATCCGAACATTTAGAAGAACAATTTAAGTTAGTACACCATATATAGAGGTGAATGCAAGAAAAGCCACAGAATACAGCTTCAACAGTATCTTTAAAGTACAGCTAGATAAGCGCAAACTAGTCCTCACATTACAGCAGCTTCAGAAAGATGTTGCATGCTGCCCAATGACACATTGATGTTGCACAGACATCTTGTAGCTTCACCGTTGTCACAAGTAACATTAAATGATTCAATGTTTTTACCAGAATAATAGGAACCTTTATTTTCCAGTTTGAAAAAAATATGCCACATAAGCAGAACGTACAAAATCATCATCTACCTGTTTCCATATGCTAGAGGAATACATTTATTTAAATAACCTAGGAAAAAAAAAAGAACCACCACCTAACTTGGTACAGAAGAGAGCAAAACTAACATAACATTTAAAATCAGACTTTATATGCTTTTAACACTGGTTAAAAACATGAAGAAAGTCATCAGAGCTCAAATTACACAGCATGAATACCCAGGAACTAGCTGCATCAGACTTATGACAGGACCTAAGAGAGAGAAACAAAGAATACCCAAATACTCCCTTGGTAGAAAAACAGGACAATGCACACGCATTCAAAAAAATACAGCGCTACTCCAAACAAAGTTCAGTTTACTCGCAAGAAATTTTCAATTTAAGTTGCTAGAGCTGAAATAACTAGAAAAGTTTTTGGATCCTTACTTACTTTTTTAAAATGAGTAGCTGATTGCACTTTTCGAACAGGCTGCATCAGTGCATCACGTACGATGATGCTTATATCTGCACCAGAATAGCCATCAGTTTTCTTTCCAAGCTCTCGATAATCTGATTCTGTCAGGAGATTTGGAGTTGACCCAAGGTGAAGTTTAAACATTGCAGCCCTGGCATGGTCTTCGGGTAAAGGAATATAAATACGCTTCTCAAACCTGTTAAAAAAAAAAAAAATCCCACAGACACAGGCTTATGCAGGTGCACAAAAAGTTTATGCAAATCAGTATATAGTTTGTTCCTAACAATATTAGAAAGAAGCAGTTTCAGTATTATAAACCTTTAAAAATCTAAGGCACATATTCAACTACCTGTTCTCATAAATAATTCCGTATCTAGCATAAGTTAACATCCAGAATACAACGATTTTCTTTTCATGAAAAAAATTTTCCCTTCAGACTGAAGATTTTTTTTTTTTTTTAAGCAGAGTCATTTGTTTTAACAGAAAAATTTGAAGGGAAGAAAAGAAAAAATCACTTTAGTGGTGAAGTATGCTGAAACAGTTTTCACACTTGAGCAGAGAACTGCCTGATAAACAGCTGACATAACCACTTTCCATAGTTTCCAACTAAATTAAAGAGAACTGCTAAAGTCTGAAGCAAATTTGAAGTCCTACTCTCAACATGGCTGTCAGTAGAAAACTTCGATAACTGCAGTTCTTCTTTTGAAGCAGTATCTGTTCTCAAAGTAAGGATTACCTCCCAAGAACACAATAAGAGAGACTCTAAATTCTGTAGAACACAATTAACTTGATCTACATGACAAAGCGAGCCAAAAACATAAGGAAATTAATTGCATTACTGCCACATATACAAGTTCCTTAAAGTTTTATGAACAAGAGCTAGAGAGCTACTTAAGACAGACACAAATTCACCACTAAATCTCACATAGACCTATAAGGTCATACAGGTTGGAAGGGACCTCTGGAGGTCATCTGGGCTATCTAGAATTAGGTATATAAGCAAAACAGTTAATCGTGCCAGTCCAAAAAAAAAAAAAGTTTCTTTAGCAACTGGTATGCCTATAAAAATGACCATCATCCAGGCTGTGTCCTCATCACAACACAATCATATTTGTCTCATAGCTGTATTTATGCTCTGCTGCTCAGCAGCTGAAAGGAAGGTCCAACTCAAACAAAGGCACAGAAGCCCTTTAACTTTAGAAGGGCAGTCAAAACACACACTGACAGCTCATATCTAAATGTGGCTTGACTAGTAGAAAAACATGGTTCTTCTGCATAACTTAAAGGTAGGTGTAATTCCATGAAATACCTTAAGCTATTTAACAGTTTGCTGCTGCTGAAGATAACTCTGCCCCTCTTGCCCCTCCCAGGTGCATACTTTGTATCTTGTCCCCACTCCCATTAGAAAACCAACCAGCAAGGAAACAATACCTTTCTGCTTGAGCAAGCAGAATCAGCTAACCAAGAGATCACTATAGGATCAACATGAGGAAAAAAAAAAAAAAATCACCTCTTCCAAGTGGCAAGGTATTATTAGATTGGCTCAGTCCATCTCCTGAAACTGAGCCCAAGACCATTAGCTACGTCTGCAAACACAAGCTGGATTACCACTTCAAATACTCTTGGACTGACCCCTCGCCACAACTGTGTATTTCATATAAAAATAAACAATTTTAAAAGTGCATCATACCTCCTCCTGATAGCAGAATCCAAAACCCAGGGTATGTTTGTTGCTCCCAAGACCAAAATTCCTTCATTGTCAACACCAACCCCTACACGCAGGTAGAAAACATTTAATCGTTTCAAAGATAAGCAGATGGTGTTTTAAAACACCTTCAAAATTTAATGTGGTGAAATAGCAGATCTCATGCAAGCTATGCTTAAAATACATATCATTCCTTTGACTGATCCTGATAACCAGTAAGCTTACCTTGCATCTGGACTAGAAACTCAGTTTTAATCCGTCTAGCAGCCTCACTTTCATTTTCACTTCTTGACCCACATAGGGAATCTATCTCATCAATGAAGATAATAGAAGGTTTGTTTTCTCTGGCAAGCTGGAACAAGTTTTTCACTAATCTTTAAAACAAATAAACAGCCAGCTTCAGTTATCTTAATGAAAATACAAGCAAAACCAAGTAACTTAAGCTTATGATACAGTCACTTCCCTTAGAGAAAAAAAAGATTAAAGAAAAGAAGCTTCTCAAATATACAATACTCTTCCAGTTCCAAGAACTCTGCACTATTCCATGTGATATTCCACAGTATAAAGGGAGGTGAAGCATTTTAAATAGAGTGCTCTAAGCATTGTAAAAAGCACTGTTTATGTTTCTACAAAGGCAGACTGGACTACGCAAAACCACCACCCTAAACAGAACCAAAAAGAACACAGCTTTCTCTTACTTAAGATTTGTAATGGCTTAATTTCAAAGATTCGCAGAAGAAATAATATGAAAACTTATTCTTACACAACTTCAGTAAGTGCTTTTTATATGACCGAAATAGTTGGTTTGCCTAAAAAAGCTACATAAAGGATGGCTCATTTTAATTGTACAGTTGCTAGGACAGAGTTAGGTTTAACAAGGTAGGGGCGAACGGAAAAACAGAGCACGGCAACACCTCAGAGTGATGTGGTGGGAATAACAGCTTGATTCAGAAGAAGAAAGAGTGCCATGCTGCTTCCAATACCTTTCTGAGCTAGTTATAAAAACCTTCCAGAGCACTGAAGAGCAATCCAGCTGCAGCAGCATGAAATGCAGCACATGAGGGTATCTTTATATGACACTGCAGTGCAAAGCACAGAAACACCTCAACTGCGTTTTCACAAGACACACAGTTTATGTCAAACTAATTTCTCGGGAACATCTTATCTACCTCTTTAATACTAACTTATTGCCAACATTTTCTTGGCCCTCTGGCAACTCAAACTTACTTTTCACTCTCTCCCAGCCACTTTGAGACTAGGTCAGAGGAAGATACTGAGAAGAAGGTAGAATTGTTTGCTTCTGTTGCCACAGCTTTTGCTAAATACGACTTTCCTGTTCCCGGTGGTCCAAACAGAAGAATCCCTCTCCAAGGTGTTCTCTTTCCTGAAAGAGAGAAACCAGCAGCCATTAAAACATGGTAGCAAGACAAAGCCTACTTTTCTGATGATGCCCCTCTAATTTATTCAGAGATTTTCTTTATCTACCTCTGAAACTTCTGTCAGATGCATGATAATCACTTTAGTGAGAGCTCAGTTTGAGTCTCAGATTCATCAGCATACCACTCTTCTCAGATCCCAGTGCCAGTCCCAACTTCAACATCAGGGTTTTTTATTTCAAATCCTGAATGCTAATGTTTCTAACCTGTAAACAGGTGAGGAAATTTAATGGGCAATATCACTGCTTCTTTAAGCGCTTCTTTGGCACCTTCAAGGCCAGCAACATCACTCCATTTTACATTTGGTCGCTCCATAACAATTGCACCTATAACAGAAGATTGTATAAACAGTGACACGTACATCCTTCCAGAGCTTAAAGAACTTCCATTCAGGGGACGGGAGAGGGGGAAAAAAAAAAAATCTATGCCATTGTTCACACTAAATAAAACAAACAATTTCTAATGAGACTTAAACACTGAATACTGCTAGTTAAATGGATGTTATTTCTACAGAAATATGTCCCATTGTATGTTTAATAGCAAGAGAACATGGATAACCACAATACTTGAGCGTTAGTAGAAGCCCTGCTATGGTCAAACATAGCCCATAACTGGGCAGCAAGCATGAATTTAGTAGTTACAGATGAGTACTTTCTCTAATATGTACCGAGGCACCCTCTGCTCACTGAATTCCACCATTATATTTTCTGAAAAATTCAGAATTTCATTTTAAACAAGAATGGAAACAACGTAGTCGCAGTAGTCTAGGATTCATAAAACGTCATCACTAATCCCTCTTCTTGTAGTGGTGACTCTGTAGCAGATGAAGTTACCTGTTACATAACTCCAGATACGCAATAGAAATAATATGAATGTCCCCTGGTAAAGCACTTTGAGAGTTAGGGATCAAAAGCACCAGAAGGGTGATATCGAGCTTGCGTGGCTGTAGAAAAAACATCATCTTTTTCTAGCCCTGTTCCTTCAGTCAAAGTTTATCACTAAGTTTCGTTTCTCTTAGTCAACACATTTAGCCTGATTTTAGCCAGCTGAGTTTTAATTTAGCCTTCCCTTCAGACTTTAGGTTGGTTAGTCTGATACCCCAAAAAATTATTTGCCTTGACTAGCTTTAGATGGCACAACATGGATCTGAGCTAGTAACTGAAGATTAGAGCTTGAAATCCTAGCCAAGGCAAAACTAAAACGTAAGATAAATCTTCTCCCCTGAACAAATGCCAAGCAACCTGATGCTTATCTTTAAGTACTCAAACACATTGAAAGTTTCAGTTGTCCTATTTTTCCTCAAGGTGTATGCTATAATTTTACAATCAGTTTTTACCAGCTATTTCACTGCCACGTTCACCTCATGCCTTTGGAGAACAGAGAAGTAATTTGTCTACAGCCTTCCCCCCCAAACATTTAAGATCGAACATTTACTATTACCAACAAATAAAGCAAATATGCATATGAATCCCTTTTTTAAAATAAGGTTATCTCCTTTGAGGTTTTTTTTGCTACATTCCTCTTCCATCAGATCAAAAGCAACAATTTCTGTTAACAGATCTTATGATCTTATGTAACAGGGCCCAAGAGCAACATCACATTGTGAAAGTTGTTAAAAAACATTACAGGGAAAGGTATTTGCAAGCTGTGTTAACTTACAATCTATATATTGAAAATAATTCCATTACCCACTTTCAGTGCATTAAATTCTTCTGCTAGGTTGATTACAACTCAGTTTTTCACAAAGATAGTAAACAGAATGATGGAGTACAGCACTAAAATCAGCAGAACAGGTAACAGCTCAGATGGGAAAAAGAGATTATTTTAAAGCTGAAATATCACAGGAAGTTATCTGTACCAGACATATTGTGGTAACTAAAATTACTGTACTGTAAGAGACTACCCATGCCAGGACACAACTGTAACTGAACATCTTTGGCTCCCTAGTTTTGAAGGTGGAAGTGAATAGCTGGAAAGTTAAGTAACAGAGTACAAAAGCCCTCTAAAATTATAAATGAGAGTACAGGAAAGTAGACCCACTACTACCAGCTACTCTGATTGTTACTGGCCATTTCTCCCACAATAAGTCAAATTGCTATTATAATTAAAATCTTGATAAATATCCATAAAATCCTCCCCCACCTCCCAAAAAAAAAAGAAAAAAGTTTGGAAAGTTCCAAAAGGCACAGTCAGCTAGGAGTAACAAGGCAGTAAAATTAACTACAGGAAATTTCTGTGGCTGTTGTGGCAAGCAAAATGAAGATGAATAATGTGATGGCTGCCTGGAGCCTATATTAGCTTGAGCAACAGACTCTTGTTTAACATTTAAAGGCACCAAGGAACTCATGCCTCAGGTTTTCAAAGCATTAAAACATGTAAGAATGAATCTTGCCATTTACAGTCAGTCTCAAAGAAGTGGTGGGTGCAAGAAACTGTTTATTGAGAAAGAAAAAGTAAGAACTGAAAGCCAGATTCTCATGGGATGAAACAAATTGTTTATAGTGAAAGATGGGGCTAAGAGTCCAATGAATTCTCTAGTTTTCATCAATTTTCTGTCTTTTTGAAATACAGGAAACTTTGCCCCATAGAACTGTCTGTGTACGTAGAGAAGTTGAAAAAGCATGGCACAATTTCCAAATGCAATACAACAGCTTCTGAAATTACACAGGCAAAGAGACCTGGTAAAGGCTTTCTTTTTTTTTTTTTTTTTTTTTTTTAAAAAAAAACACCTGAACAACACAGGGAGAGCCATGAAAGTTTCTTCAGATCCATAACCACCTTCTTTTGGACTGGTAAGCAAAACAATCATTCACCATTAAAGAGTAATAAAAATCAAGTGAAGTTTCTCCTTTACCACGTACAAAACTACTGCTAGCTGTTCTGCACTGCACCACTGACTGTATTCAGCACTTGAGCTCAAAAAGTGAAAGAACTATTTTAATCAACTGAGATAACATCATCCCTGATACACAAGAAAATACCACCTATTACTATAAAAAAAGCAAGAACCCATCTACTCCACTTCTGATTTTGAGTGCAAGCTTCTTTGTGAAAATGGCCCTGCATAGACTAAGTACTTGTATGATGCCTGTTACCTTGACCTCCAGGAAATTTTATAATGCACTTAAGAGTAAAAATATTGGTATAGTTTAGCCAATCCTTAGACCTAGGATCTTGCAACCTTTCCCTTTAGGAAATGCTTTCCTGATAAATGTTCTAATTTTAACATGAAGCACAGGTGACAGCAGATAAAGTTCAGCATATTTCCCACAGTTTCACAGCACACAAACCCATAATTCCATTAAGACTGTTTGTGTATGTGAAGAATGTATAGTAGCTGAGCCACTCAAAATAAAGATAGTGATAAAGCCAATATATAACATTTAGATGGCCAAATTTAGCAAGTCACTCGATCAAGTTGCCTCTACTCAAAGAAAAAGATGCTTCAAAGCTACCTTGAAGTTGATTCTGTAGCTTCTTTTTTTCAGGATCCTCTGACTCTCCTTCCCCATCACTGTCATTCCTGATTTGGACACAAGAAATAAATTGTTGAAGTACAAATAAGACAGCTGTCTTAGACAAAAAATCAAAACGTTACAAGCAAAAACACCATTCTGAGGAATGACAGAAACCTTTTTTCCAACAGACATATTTCACAACTCTGCAAGTTTACAGCACAGTATCACTATTTCTCCACCCCTAATTCTTTCTAATTCTTCCTCTTCACCATTTCGACCTCCTCTTATGGTACCCAGGCCTTCCGCAATACACTTCTCATACATGCTTTGAGCCAACTGATAGAAAATAAAACCCCTTTTATTGAGCAACATGGAGGCACCAAAACATTTTATTCTTAAATATGCACATTTATGCTTTACCTGAAATTGCACCTGCACTTGGTCAATTGCACCAATTGTACTATGAAACTCTATGCCCCCATCTTGTCAAAGCAAAGAGAACTCAAAGTTACAGAAGGAAGAAAAGACTGCTTGGTGAACAGTTGGAATAGACGACATGGAAACACAGGTAGGCTGCGTGATATTACCCATTCCTCCCAATATAACCTGGTAGAATACAGTGCAGCTCTCAAAAAAAGAAAACTGACGGATGAGATGAGTAGACAATGAAGGAGACAGAAACCAGATGAAGTTTCAAGAGACAACTAGGCAGATCCAGCTGTTCATGACTGCTAGAAGGGGCAACCCCGACAGCAGATATTGTCGTGCAGTCCTTCCTCCCTCCTATCCCCACTAAGCAAGTGCAAAAGCACCTCTGTTCAGAACGTCTGATTCAGCTTTCCAATCCACAAAATGAGAAACAGATCTAAGAAAAGAAAAGCAGCAGAAGAGAAAAGACTGCAGCAAGGCCTTAGAGCAATTCAGCCCATCTTTTGGAACTTCACCCTAAGATGAAGGTTTGCCTCTCTAATCAAACGTGAAACAGATCAGACTTGGGTCAGAGTAATCATCAGTCTTAACTGACTTTCAAATTGGTCAGTATTCATTTATAGAAGAATAAGTGTCACTGGGCCTGTTGTTGTTAAATCTGATAAGCATGAGTTAATCTGCAACCACTTTCACTCTTCAGGGAATATGCTATGCAAATATTCAAACATCTGAGTAAACAAGCAAAGAAAAACTTGTGTTACTAATACATGTTATTTTTCTTTTATTAGCCCACTGCACTTCAGCATTAGTAGTCATCTGAAACATTTCAAAACACTACAGTTCAAACGATCTTTGAAAAGATGAACTTTAGGATAAGCTGAGTTCAGAAAGTATTTTGCTTTACCTTCTCCAAAAACATACCCTTTTCCATCAGTAGGACCAGACTCTTTAACTGGTTTTGGTACAGTTTTTTCTCTCTTTTTCAGATATTCTTTCAGCTTTTCTGCTCTGTCCAGGTATTCTGTACATTTCGTTCTAATACTCTGCTTTGCTTTATCCCCCTGTGCTTCATCTAAGAATTTGAAGAGAAACAACACTTTAACAGCAAAACACATGCATATCAATTAGAAAACAAGACTCAATTCTGTCGTTTTTATGTCTTATCAATATATCTTTCTCAGGGATTACATAACCAAACAGCTCAACTACTTATTTTTTCCCCTAAACCATGGTAATAGAAACAACAGAAATCAAATATACCCCTGAACATTACTCTGGCTTAAAATTTGACTGGAAAGGATTAAGGACAGTGGTGCTGAATAAAGACTTTTTCCATCAGCCTCTCAAACTCCTGTGCAATGTCTGAACCACTTCTTTTCTAACCTAGCTCATCAAGAAGCTGCTTGTGCTCAGCAATTTTTATTTAGAAACATACCTTTTTTTTTTTCCTTTATGGTGTGAACTTCTTTTAAAATAAGCAGGCTTAGGAAAACTAAAGAGCCATAAACATCTGAAAAAACTTAGATCCAGCTCAACTCTTCTGTTAGCCACTACTACAACATTTCAAACCAGCAATCAAAATTTAATGTTATAGGTTTGTGTGTTAGTTTCCAAAAGTGCACCAATATTCTTAAAAGCACAGAAATTTGTGTTCTGATAGTCTATGCGATATAAATGGATAGGAAGTGATAAACACAAATTATCATAAATGGCTATAAAGAATACAGTATTTTTTTTTAAAGTCACTGAGATCTGTAAGAGCTCTTAAGTCAGGCCAGCAACCCTCATCCACTTAGGTTAGGGGTTTGCCTACATTAAGAAAGGCTACTCCTTTCAATCAAATGTTGGACATGAGGACCAAGGCGCACAGAAATGTGAGAAGAGCATAAAAACAATTATGAGAATATGGAAACTGAAGAAAAATGAGAACATACAAATCAATCTCATGCAATTTGTTGGCCAAGGTGTCAATAAGTGGTTTGACTATGACATTAAGTAGCAAAAAATGCCAGCAAAAAGACTTTTGAAAGGCAAGTGGCATAAGTTAATGAGCAAAAAATGCTCCAAGGGTACTACAAAGACTTTTTGTCTACCACATGGTTTTCTGCACAACAGAAGTATAGAGATCCCTGTACTCTGTCACAATTCCTCATGTACAGTAGCCAGGCTCAGACATTCCTACAGAAGACCAAAGTATAGACAGCAAAAACCTCCTGCTCCCAGTTTCAAAAAGCCCTCCAAAACAAATAAAAAAAGAATAATCCAACTTATTACAAGAACAGAGCAGGCAGACAATATAGCGAGGGAAAAAGCTGTGTTAAACATCATCTCAGTCAAACTACAGCTAGCAAGCATCAGTTGATGACGAAAGTCAGAATTTAAATAGTAATGTCAACACAATAGATCATGCTATGCAATTACATTTTTAAAAGTCTATATAATCATTTAAAACGTTACACTTACATTTAACAACATGGAGAAAATACTGCACAGCATGTTGGTACAAGCGGAATGCTTCCTCATAGTTTCCTGCTTTATCTTCTTGTGCTGCCTTGCTAGCAAGATCTATTGCTTTCTGTAACACAAGCAGATGATTAAAATGACGTAACTGCTGAGCAACAGCACTGCAGGACCAAAGAGACATTTTAAGCTGTTGCTCTGACTGGGTTTTGATGGCGAGCTTTTCTGCTCTTGAACCCAAGCCTGAAAAAATCGAAGGCAATTGATTGCTAGTCTTACATGGTGCTTTGCACAGGACACGATTTCTCCATTCTTTTATGAATGGCAATTAGCAAAACTGCTAAAATTTACTAGTACGTAAGAAAAGCAGTAAGTGACAAGAACAAGTATTTCTGCATGGCAAGTTGTAACTTCTACTAGTTTGTCCATGTAGCTTTTCTTCCTCCTACAGCAAATTTCCAAAAGCGTTCGCAAAAAAACGCATGTTTTTTTCATCACAGACGTAGACAGTTTTAACTATGAGTAATGAGATCACTAAATCCTACTGAAGGCAGAGTCCATACAGGAAGTACGTGATTATGAAGCACTGGAACTAGTTCTATCAGTCTTCCAACACTACGCTAGGATTAGCTTCAAAGATCGATTACTTGTCTAGCTTCTCAGGGATTCAGCTTCCTCATATCCAAGTAACAAGATCCCGTCACCATTCTAGGAAGAAGGGAAAAAACCCCACCAGACAGAACGTACACGAATATCAACAAGCAACTTAAGCATCAAGAAAAGTTCTATTGAGGAGAATTTAGGGATGGAATTTTATTCTACTTATTGAACCAGTTTCAGATAAAACTGGCTAAGATTTGAGCCATCAGATTGCATACACTAGCCTAAGAATCTGTTAATATGGCTGTTACGCCTTTGTTTTTAGCGGCGCTTGTTTCCCTTGATCACATTTGCTGCTTGGACTGCCTATACCACTTTAGGACAATTAAAAGCGACAGCTTGAATGACTAGCTCACAGTAAGTTTAAAGAAAGCCCAGTTGGTTAGCCAGGGTTCACCAACAATATCTAAATCACACATAGCCCCACATATATTCTCCACATTCGGTCGATTTTGTCTTGCTAAACGTTTTTAGCATGTTCATCATGATCTTCGTAATGTCAGGGAATAAGGCCAAAAGCTTCAATAAGTTTTCATTAGACCTTCCTGCGTACAAATTCTTGCTGCTACGCAGATATTCTGATGTGTCTCAGGCAAAACAAAGCTGATAAGCACCATCCATCACAGAAGAAATGTAAAAATCTCTCACTGTATGGTTTGGACTTGCCGCCTTGGAAGCAAAGGTCTTTTCATTAGACCTATCTGAGATCAAGAGTAATTTATTTAAAAACAATGACACCAGCAAAGCAGACACTGCAGTTCCTGTCCGACAAGTGTTGAAAACACTGCAAGCATCTATTCCCTTGAAAAAGAATTTAGTCTTTCATTTTAGGAGAAGCCATGAGCTGGTATAACAGTTTATCACTTCTAAATGGGCAGTTCCAGGTCCCTCCTTGCTGCTCACCCCTTTGGCTGGCTCTGTCAGATCCCTTCAGGAACCATTTAAACTCAACAGCATAGTAAAAACTAACCCAGAAAAAGAAGTTGCTTTCTGCTATCTACTGACTTAAACTACCACACAGGCAGTTCAATGAGTCCGGAATCCAGTACAACAGAGAAAATTGTACTGGACAGCTAAGACTAGGGCAGCATTGGCATTGATACATGTGACACTACATCCAAAAAATGAATGGTAAACATCACCTGCGAAACGTAACTTTCTGAAAACAGAGCATCTTGTAGCTTTGCGCCTTTCAAATAGAAAAATATGTGTATCATGTATTGGCTGTTTTTTACTTCCCCTTTACAAATACAGAGAAAACTATTATTGGAATATTAGAGTCTCAGCTCTGGTACATCAGCAGGCACCTTAGCTTGTTACTATGATGAAGAACTCCGCTATCAAAAAGGAAATAATTTCTTAGAAAGTTTTATAAAACAGGCCATAGATGGCCAGCTCTATGCACCCACGAGGCACAGACTATGCGTATTAGGCTACAGTCTGATGAACATTAACCTTCATAAGCAACAACAGGCTAAACAGCTTTCGTTCTCCTCCTGCTTATTCTAGACTCTGTGACAGCTCTCTCAGTTGTGCCAGTACAAGCGTTGCTTGGCCACAGGCTTGCAGATACGATAGCAGTTCCAAACAACTGAAGAGAAAATAAGTGTTTTTAACATGGGCGATTTCTGGACCTGTTTTGCCAAGCAGCCGCAGAACCAACCATACAGGCACAAGAGAGCGTTAACACAAGCAAGGCAAAAACCGAGCGTCCAAGGACTTCCTGCAGCCAGTACTCCCAGGAGAAG